AAGATCCTCCTCAGGTAGTAGGCCTTAAGTTGCTATAACTCCTTGATCCACTGGTTGAATCAAAGAGTTTGGAGGGAGAAACATGGCTTTGATATTGGGATGAAGATCACCAACAAAAGGAGAATGTTCAAGAGCATTATCAATAAGCAAAATCTTGAAAGGTATGTTATTCTCCCAACAGTACTTTCTCCATTTTGCTGGCATAGCAATTCAGGAAGGCATCTTGGAAGAGGAGCTGGGTCATCCATGACTTTTTACGGCTCCTGTAGTACACTGGCAGTGTGTGCTTACTGATATGCTTGAAGGCCCTGGGGTTCTCACTGTGCCAGATCACAAAGAGTTTCAATTTGTCGCCTGCAACATTGCCCCCAAGCAAGACTGTTATCCTGTCCTTAAAAGCTTAAAGCCTGGCATTGACTTGGCCTCCTTATGGATGAAAGTCCTTTCAGGCACACATTTCCATGATAGGGAGGTTTCATACATATTGAACATTTGCTCCGGCAAGTAATTTTCCTCCACAATCAGCTTTAAGTTTCCAAAAATTCTTCAACTGCGTTCACATAAGCACTCACAGACTTACCATTCACTTCCACATTACGTAATGAATAATGATTCTTGAATGGTTTAAGTTACCAAGAGCAAGCAGTAAATTTAACATCATGGGTAGGTACAGCCTTTTCTTTCAACATCACAAATTTTTGCTTTAAAGGCCGTTACCACAGTGCTGAGGGATATGCTTCTGTGTCTGGTCTTCAATCCAGGTCATTAGACATTTCTCCGTGTCACATTGAGGCCCTTCTTGAAGTTTTGTTAGCCTCTTTGCCTTCAATGAAGGAGATCCTTTAACAGCTTCTGTCACGTTGTTCTTCAAGATCATAGCTATCATGAGTGGGACAGCCCTGACTGGCGAGCAATAACCATCACTGATTTTCCACCTTCATAGTCCTTAATCACTTTTAATTTCATTTCCAGGTCAATCACTTGATGTGGCCTCTTACTGGCAACATTTGCAGTGAATTTTGTATGCTTAGGGGCCATGACGAACAAAACAGCAGGAGACTAAGTCAGGCACAAGAGAAAATGATGCAATCAAGAGAGCTGGTAAACAAGAGATGTCTGAGGCTGCTGCCAGCATAATACGGCATATTGCTTCACAGTAAACTTTTTTTTTAAGTAGAAAGAGTACACTTAAAAATAATAAAAAGTACATTATAGTAAATACGCAAACCAGTAACATAGTCATTTATTGCCATTATCAAGTATTCCATACTGTACATAATTCTATGTGCAATATTTTTATGAGTGGGCAGTGTAGTAGGTTTTTTTACACCAGCATCACCAAAAACACAGGAGTAACGTGTTCTGCTATGACATCACTAGGTGAGAGGAATTTTTCAGCTCCATTATGCTTTTATGGAACCACTGTTGTATACGTGGTCCATCATTTACCAAAATGTCATTATGTGGTGCATGACTGTAGCGCTAAATTCGGTTTGCCAGTATTTTGTTGAGGATTTTTGCATCACATTTCAGGATATTGGCCTGTAGTTTTCTCTGTTTGTAGGGCCTTTGTCTGGCTTTGCTCTCAAGGTAATGCTGGCCATACAGAATGAGGTAAGAAGTGTTCCTTCCTCTTCAATTTCTTGGAAGAGTTTGACAAACATTAGTAGTAGTTCTTTATAATTTTTATTTATTTATTTATTTTTCCCCCAAAGCCCCACTAGATAGTGGCATGTCATACCTGCACATCCTTCCAGTTGCTGTATGTGGGACGCAGCCTCAGCATGGCCGGAGAAGCGGTGCATCGGTGCGCGCCTGGGATCCAAACCCAGGCCGCCAGTAGCAGAGCGCGTGCACTTAACCGCTAAGCCACAGGGCCAGCCCAGTAGTAGTTCTTTAAATGTTTGGTAGACTTCCCCAGTGATGCCAGCAGGTCCTGGGCTTTTCTTTGTTGGGACAGTTTTTATTACTGAGTCCATCTCCATACCAGTTATAGGTTTATTCAGATTGTCTGCTTTTTCATGATTTAGTCTTGGTAGTTTTGTGTTTCTAGGAATTTTTCAACTTCATCTAGGTTATCTAAATTGCTAGCACACTATGGTTCATAATACTCTCATTATCCTTTTTATTTCTTTAGAATCGGTAGTAATGTCTCCTCTTTCATTTCTGATTTTAGTAATTTGAGTCTTTTTTCTTAATCCATCTAACTAAAGGTTTGTCAATTTTGTTGGTCTTTTCAAAGAACCAAATCTTGGTTTTATTCATGTTTTCTATTGTTTTTCAATTTTCTATTCTGTTTATCTCTGCTCTAATCTTTTTTATTTCCTCCTGGGTTTAATTTATTTTTTCTAATTCTAGTGTGATCTAGACTCAGCATGTCAGTCTGCAATCATAGAAGTTTGGAAAGGCAGGAGCAGATTTCCTGCAGGAGGAGGGAGAAATTTGCAGGAAAGATTCTGAAATACAAAATTAACAATGGGGGCTGGCCCTCTGCCCCGCTATCATCTCCCAAATGTCAGACTTGTGGTGTCCCATTTAGCAATCATAACATTACCTTTTTAAAAAATCATCCGCTATTCTCATTCAGACCTTTCTTCTAGAAGGGGTGTACAGAAGAGTAATGAAAGTATTTCCACAGAAAAACACTTTGATACGAGTTACTCAGAACAACAATTCATGTTTAGGAATTGTTCAGGATGAACTCCTAAGTTTTCAAAAATTTTCAAAATGCTTTTCATAACCTCCCACCCCATTTGTCCTGATTGTTTACATACAGACAGACCTCACAGATATTGTGGGTTTGGTTCCAGATGACCACAATAAAGCAAATATCACAATAAAGCAAGTCACACAACTTTTCTGGTTTCCTAGAGTACATAAAGTTATGTTTACACTATAGTGTAGTTTATTAAGTGTCAACACCATTATCTCCAAAAAAATTGCACATATCTTAATTTAAAAAACTTCATTGCTGGGCTGGCCCCAGACATACTGGTTAAGTTTAGTGCATTCTGCTTAGGTGGCCCAGATTTATAGGTTCAGATCTCGGGCACAGACCTACACCACTCATCAGCCACACTGTGGGGGTGACCCACATATAAAGTAGAGGAAGATTGGCACAGATGTTAGCTCAGGGCTAATCTTTTTTTTTTTTTTAAAGATTTTATTTATTCATTTTTTCCCCCCAAAGCCCCAGTAGATAGTTGTATGTCATAGGTTCACATCCTTCTAGTTGCTGTATATGGGACCTGGCCTCGCGTTGGACGGA